GTGGTTGTTGATATTCGCGAGCTTGACCAGCCCCGCCCTCTCGTGTTTCGACAGTCCGCCCTCGCCGTCGTACCGCGCGACCCTGTTCTCCATCCCGCTGAAGATCTTCCCCGCGCCCATGATTGGTTGCCTCACGTTGCCCGCGACGTAGAGCGTTACCGTCTTCGATCCGCAATGCTTCAGCGGGGTGTCATCTGCGACCGTGAGGTCTGGGTTCTTGCCTGGCTTGATCTCCGCATTGGGGAAATCCTTGATCCCGCGCAAGCGCTCGCCTGCGCAGTTGTCCGCGGGCACCCAGAGCGCGCGCCACATACCGTCACCCATCGCGCCTCTCACCGCGCGCCCCTGAACGCCGATGATCTCGTGATTCGCGACCGCGAAGATGTAGCTGTGCTCCCACTCGGACTCGCGGGCGGTCGCGACGGCCCGCGCCCCTGCTCCACGAACGCGTTGACTGCCCACCTGGCTCGCTGAAAGTCCACCCGTGGAAACTGATGGGCTGCTCGGTAACGGGGTGCCGATGTTGTTCCGGCCATCTAGCGTGAACTCGTTCACCGAACCCTTCATCGCTTTCTTGCACTTGTCCTTGCCCTTGTCGCAATTCGGATTGGCCGCGCGACGCCGGCAGTCCTCCGCGCAGTGACCTCGCTGTCAACAGTTGCAGCGCAGTCTTGTTCCAGGTGCGCCCGTTATGCTCCAGGCTGGCTGTCGCGCTGCTGCCGCCAACGTCATGGCATCGGCGCCCTTGCCCTTGGTGTCCCTTCCTGTGCTCTTGGCGTCCTTGCCCTTGCCTTTGCCGCCCATGCCTTTGCCGAGTTCTGTAACTGCCTCGTGAGCGCGCCCGCCTGCATGGTTCCGGCTGGATGGTCCCCCTCCGCTGTTCCTGGCCCGCGCTGTGCTGCTGGCAACCGCTGGTAACCGTTCTTATACGCCGTCGCCGCCTGTAGGTACTGGATCGTCGCGCCCACCAACTCGTCGTAGCTTTATCAGTTTGCGTCTCCAACACCGCGCGCATGTTTCTCGGGGCCTTCAGCAGGTAGATGCTCTTCTGCACGCCTGGATTGAACGCGTCGCCCGAAGCCGTCTCGCACCTCCTGTCTGCGCGGTGCTGCTCGAAGTCCGCCGAGTCACATGGAAAAGGCCTTCACATTCAAGATCGACGCCACGATGGTCTGCGCCCTCACCGCCGCCGTTGGCACGCGCCGCGGGATCAAAGCTCGCCGCGCCAGCGCACCGTTCTGGTCTTCCACGCTTCTGATCAACATCTGAGAGCTGCCCCTCACCGTCATCACCAAAGAACCAAACATAACAACATATTATTGTTCGCCGTGGCCCCTTCTGCGCCCAGCCTGCGCGGCGTCCCCGCGATGCTGAAGTCGGGGCCCCCGCGCTGATCTGCGGCCTCCACCGGGCGCTGCGCCTGCGCCGCCTGGCCGCCCAAGTAAGCCCTCATCACGAAGGACCACTCCGCCCAGCTCTCCTCGCGCCCGTCGAACGTCGGCGGTTTCAGACCTGCGCCGTGCCACTCTGCTGCTGCTTCTGCCATGGCTCCTTCCACGGGTCCTTCCTTCTCGGTTCCCGCGTACTTGGGGCCACGAAAATCTCGCCCTGCTTCTCAGAGGTCGCGGAGACCTCGCTCTGCGAGCTCTCGGCGCGACCGCGTCGCGCCCCTCGCGCCGTGGATCTGCTGCCCCGCCGGCCAGCTGCGGCCGCTCTGGCAATGGCCGGCGCCCTTTGCCGCGGAGAGCCCTCAGCGGGAGCTGGCCGAGGCCAGCTCCGCTACCGTGACAGTTTCTGTGCCCCAAAAAACTGCGAAACGGACGGTTTGTTTGGGCTCTCGTTTACATGTGTTGAAGCCCGCTCGACCGACGGTTTCCCTCAACGCCGTATTAAGCCGCTCCCTGTAGGCTTCGCCGCTGCTCCTGCATTTGCTGCAGCCTAGACTGACCTGGGGCGGCGTGCAAGAGGCTCGCAATGTTGGCTGGGGGCCTGCCTGGACCGTCGCAGACTGTTCACCGCACGGAGTTCCTGGCTGTGGTGCGCTGGGTTCGCGTGGGGTTTGCAGGCGCCGCGCGATGCGCCTTCGGACCAATCGAAGTCTGTGGCCACGCCTGTGGGATGACCTTGGTGAGGTGCACCTGACCATCGGCAAGGTGGAGTCACAGTCGCCAGGAGTAGCGAGCCAGGTTCCCAGGCATGCCGGAGCTCTGGAAGCAAACTAACGACATGGTCTACCGCAAGGCCGAAGCAGTCTCGTTTAGCACGTGGCGGGTAGGAGTTCGTAGGAGGCAGGCGGCGGTGCTCGAAGAGTGTGCGCGTTGCGGCCCTTGGGGTCTGAGTCGAGTTGCCCATGCACCGACGAAACCGAAGTTCTCTCGTGCACAACGTTTCGATGTGTTGCTGGCTCGGACTTTGCACGAAGTGGTGCGGCCGAGGGGTCGGGGGGTCTGGAAGGCCGCAGTGGTGCTCGCAATGATGTGGCGGGCTGGTTGCCTGCCGACTGCGTGCCTGTTCGAGCCAAGGTTTCATACAATTCATGTCCTGTGACGCCTTGTATCGGGGTTGCACACAGAGTGATTCCCTCCAGCCATGCTACCCGAGCCCATTGCCAAACGCGTGTCTGTGTTTGTTCGACGTGCGGGCGGTGCACGGCCCGCGTCCTCCGCTGTCTGGTGGAGGAATGCCGACCTCCTACTAAGACAAGGGTCGGCAACCTGCAGCTGTTTGAAAGAGGGGTGTGGCCAAGGCACTCTCAAACAGCTGAGAATATCAACGGATTCTCCCAGCCGCGACGCGGATAAAATCAACGAAGACGGAGGCACCCACAGACACGCCCAAGCATTCCACTCACAGGGGAAATATATCCTCCTCCTACTCCTCCTCCTTCCTGCTCCTCCTCCACCTCGTGTTCCCCCACGTTCCTTTTCGTCCCCCTCACCCCCTCCTCTTCCTGCTCCGCCTCCCCCTCCTGCGCCCCATGGCCTGCCGAATCAGCTTCGACCCGGCCGACTTGCCTGGAGGAAAGAACGAAACACATAAACTGGGGGAGATCCGCTCGGAGTTCTCGGACCAGCGCTCAAACGGCGCTGGAGGCCGATCCGAGAAATCCGCGCGGACCTCCGAATGTCTCCGCTACATGAGGAACAAGGCCCCTCCTGGGCCCAACATCGCTGGGGTACACGGTTAGCGCTGGAGGTACAACAGTGGACGGAAAAGGTAAGGTAAGACATCAGGAGACTGTCAACTTGCCTGGAACACGTAAATTTCCAGTGCGCAATCGACTACAGGATGCTCATGTGCAGGCAGGAAGCCTAACACAAAGCCCTTGGAAGCGTTGGTCAGGGCCCCAGCTCCGGGGGAGTGCCCCCGGGGCCTGCAGGCAATCAACGGAGGGGTGATGCCCCCTCCCCCCACGCGCCCCTGAGGGCACCACCCACGCTGCATGGTGGTGGAGGGAACTCAGGAACAGCGAGCCCCTCACTCTGAATCATAATGTATTACCATTCCTCACCATGTTTCGCAGCGTGGACCTCCACTGATCTAGACCCTTCCCAGGAATCGCATTCAATATTTTAGCTGTCTGTTACTGACTCAGAGCTCGGTGGGGGCGCCTGGAAACCAAACACTATCCCAAATATACCAGCTCTGTTCTTCCCCCAACGAAGAGAATACCGAGTCTGGACCTGTCCCCCGGGCCAATTTGCGCCCCAGATGAATGATTCCTGGCCCCTGGCCCCGAAAGCGGTTTCTAGAGGCCGACGTCAAGGAACGCGTCGTGACTGAAACAACTCATAAGTATATGTGTGCCAACATATATATATATATATATATATATATATATATATATAGAAGTACATAAATATACATATTTATACATGTGTGTAAATGTATGCATTTGCGTACATGTATATGTGTACACATAGAGACAAGTAACCACAACAAATGCTACTACCTCGGGCCTCCAGCGGCCCTTGGGCGGGAAAGCGTTCAGAAGCGAGACGGCCTCCAGGTTGCAGGCGGTTAAGTGGTCTGAGAGGGATACGCCCAGAGAAGATAAATCAAGAGGGGGGGATAAAAACAAATCCGCGCAAAATCGGTCCCCAGACCTCTCCCGGGGTCGAAACTGACTGGTTCTTCGAGCCGCGTCCAGCCATGGCGACGAGGGGGCCCTGTCTTCCCTCCTTCTGCTGGCCGAGGCCAACCTCCAGGACCCAGCGAGAAATTCCAGGACCCAGCGATTTTGGTACGGCCGGACCTGGGGCAGAAGAGCACCCTTCAAGATCTGGGATCCTCCGCCGGCCAAACTGACGAACATTCAAGGGTCCCCCCCCCCAGGATGCACCAGAGCACTCAACAAACACGGAGAACACTGCAGCATCCTTCCCGAACCGACATTGATCTTATAAGACGAAGCCAGGACGAGGATGAAATCGGGTGAGGATAAATCAAGAATCTCTGAAATCCAGCGGCTCTGAAGAATGTCTCGGGCGCCGCGGCCTTCTCAGAGCGCTCTGGAACGCTCTGAAAGATACCTGGAACGCTCTGGAACGGATTGATCCTTGTCCTGGCCCCGCCCGATATACTCAGACCCTCGACGTCCTGAACTTTACACAACGTCGACCAACAGAGGTCCGTGATTTTTCACAGCGCGAGGGGGGCTGGGTATGCCGTGTGTTCTTCTTCGGCGCTCGCCGCCCAGGCAGGTGTCGAGCACGCACTTGGGCGGCGCGTGCGACAACAGGTCGTCGTCGTCGTCGTCGTTGTCCTCGTCGTCATCGTCGTCGTCGTCGTAGTCATCGTCGTCGTCGTGGTCATCATCGTCGTCGTGGTCGTGGTCGTGGTCGTGGTCGTGGTCGTGGTCGTCGTGGTCGTCGTCGTCATCATCGTCGTCGTCGTGGTCGTCGTCGTGGTCGTGGTCGTGGTCGTCGTGGTCGTGGTCGTGGTCGTGGTCGTGGTCGTCGTCGTGGTCGTGGTCGTGGTCGTCGATTGTTCTTCTCCAGGGCTCGCCGTCCAGGCAGGTGTCCAGCACGCCCCTGGGCGGCGCGTGCGACAGCAGGACGTCCACACCCTCGGCGTGCGCGGGGCGCAGGGGCGCCGCGTTCCAGGGCAGCGCCGCGACCCGCACCGTGCAGTTGGCGACGTCGAGCTGGCACGCGCTGTCGAAGTTCGGAGGAGGGCTGGGAGACGGTGCTGGCGGCGCGCGGTCTGGGCTCGAATGCATCGGGGGCCCGCAGGGGCCCCTTCAGGGGCCCCTTCAGGGGCCCCTTCAGGGGCCCCTTCAGGGGCCCCAAAGGGCCCCTTCAGTGCAGCCCTCGCTGCCTCCCCCAATGTAAATCGCCCCCCATTACGCGCCCTCCAAGGGCTTACGCGGGCCGCTGGTGCGGCGCGCCACATCTGAGACGAGGGCCATTACGCGCGGCCTTGTGCGGGCAAATTACACGCCAATGTCGGCGCAGACGACCCCTCCCTCTTGTTCCGCGGCTCATCTGGGAAGTCTGGAGGACCTCGTACCGAGAGGGATTGGCGGCGCGCAAAAAGGTGTATGGGGGAGGGGGGAAGATTTCTTAGGAAACTGCTTTTTAGGAGGCTTCTTCTCAGGAGGCGCCGGCCCCACGTCCATAGACGAGACCCGCACCTGCTAAGAAGCCTGCTAAGAAGCAGCCTCCTAATAGAAAGCCTTCCCCCTCTCCGTTTCCCCCCTTATGCGCATGGCCGACAATTGCGACACACCAAAAAAAGTCAAGGCGGGAGGTGTTCTGCGATGTTCTGCCTCCACAAGGGCCCGCGCATGGCCCAGGAACCATCGGACAACAGCTCGGGCTGGAAAACCGACCCCTGGAACTGGGCCAGACCTTCAAGGTCGACGCTGCGTGAAATTTGCTTGACGGAAAACCCAACCCTTTCTAAACGCGAGGCCTCAATGACTCCTGTGGAGCCTCCCATGGGCGCAGGGCGCGTGCGACGGGTGTGCCGAAACGGACGCGGGGACGCTATGGGGTCACCACCACTGGCGCCATCAATGGAGCTCCCTAAGGGGAGGGCCGAACTGAGCGCGGTGACGCCATGTGGACACCCCCCATTTCCGCCATAAGTGGAGCTCCCTGCGAGGCAAGTGTCGTGTGAGGGATGTGCCAAAATATGCGCGGGGACGCAATGTGGACACCCCCAATGAGCCCATATGAAAGGCTCCAAGGGAGGCCCGAACAATGTGAAGGATGTGGCGGAATCGGTGCGAGAACACCGTGTGGACACCCCCGCTCGAAGCACAGGCGGAGCTCCCCATGGAGGCAGGAGGCGTATGAAGGGCGTGACGAAATGAGCTCGGGGACGAGGTGGACACCACACTGGCGCCATAGTTGAAGCTCCCTAAGGCGTGAGAGGTGTGCCGAAATGAGCGCGTGGACGCCATGTGGACACCCCCACTGGCGCCAAAACTGGGAGGCAGGAAGCGCGTGAGGGATGTACCGAAATGTGCGCGGGGACGCGATGTGGATACCCCCACTGGCGCCATAGATGGAGCTCCCTCGGGGGCAGGAGACGTGTGGCAGATGTGCTGAAATAGGCGCGGGGACACCATCTGGACCCGCCCGATGCCGACAGACGACGACGACGACGACGACGACGACGACGACGACGACGACGACGAACCACCCCGCGCCCACAGGGAGAGGGTGGGGTGCACTGGCACCCTCAACCACGTCACGCCCGCAGGGCCGCGACCTCGGGGGGAGGGGGGGGGATCCCGTTCGCGAGGCCTTCGCGAGGCTCGCGAGCGTACCTATTTAGCGGGGGGGGGGGGGCGGGCTCGATCCCATGTGCATGAAGGGGGAAATGGGGGGCCACCCTGGACCATAGGGGCTTCCTGGGAGGCAAGAACCGTGCGAGGGTGAAGCAGAATGAGCACGGGGACGCCATGTGGACAACCCCGCTGGGGCCACGTGTGGAGCTCCCTGGGAAGCGAGACGCGTGTGAGGGGCGCGTCGGAATGGGCCTGGGGACGCCATGTGAACACCCCCCTGCCGGGGCCACGGGTGCAGCTCCCTGCCCCCACTGGGACCATGAATGCAACTCCCGTTGGGGCACGCATCGCGCGAGGGGTGAACCGAAACGGGTGTAGCAAAATCAGCAGGAGCGGCATCGATGGGATCAGGGGAGATGGAACTGAGGAGGAGGAGGAGGAGGAGGAGAGAAGAAGGAGGATGAGGGGAAGGAGGAGGAGGGGGAGTAGTGGGAGGAGGGAAGAAAGAAGGAGACGCGCGGCGCTGTGGATTTCAAACGAGGATCCGTGTTGAGAAGAATCATGACGTCGCGGGTCTGGGTCCTGTGGAAAGTCTTGGTCGAGAAGCGTTTGGTGCTGCCAGGGTCGTTCCGACCAGTCGTCTGAGGCCACGACGATGGACCAAAGGCGACAACGCAGAAGCCTTTGGAGCTCCGCGCCGATCTCTTGGATCGGCGCTTGGTCCCCCGCCACTGGCGCGCGGAGGGCCTGGCGCCGACCCAGGAACTCCGCGAGGACTCTCGAAGATGTGCGCTGTGAATGTGCTTCCTCTGTCGACGCACAGAACGGCGGCCCTGCCAGCGTTTTCAGCACTCTCGGGGCCTCCAGAAGGCTTCTCGTCGACACGGCCAGATTCGAGTCGAAAAACGGGCAAGAGCATGTTTTTTTTACACCGATGCTTGTAAATTCACGCGCATGGCACTCCTCAGTGCCCCCTCAACCGCCTTTTCAAACGGCACCTGGGCCGAAAAGGCGTGCAAGCCTGTCCCGCCCTGCAGGAAGGCCAGACTTCCTTTTGGGACTCTTCACGCCCTGACACCCAGCTGCCCACGCAAGAGTAGACGTGCACTGGTCTGAAGGTAACCTGCCTCCCAGGATGGCAAGGCATCGGCTTGACCACACAGCGCCCCCAGGTAGCCCCAGCTGGCCTCAGCAGGCCCCCCGAGCAGCCCCAGCTGGAAGGTATCAACACCTCAACCCCGGGGCGCGAGGCGCCCCAGGGCCGCCGGAGGCGGCGCCAGGGTGTGGAGACTGTCCCAAGCGACTCGGGGGGCCTGTTGAGCCCAGATAGGACTGCTCGGGGGGGGGGGGCCTGCTGAGGCCAGCTGGGATTGCTCGGGGGGGGCCTGTTGAGGCCAGCTGGGGCTACCTGCGGTTGGCTGTCTGTGCTCAGCCCGAAGCCTTACCCTCCCAGGGTGGACGCCAGGAGGGTTCTGCGGCCCGATTGCGAGCGGATGTGGGGGACGGGAGAAGGGGGCGCCGCCGCAGCGGCTGGCCCTCCTCCGAGAAGTATAGGGCCCTGCTCTCGGGGAACTGCCGGCAGTTCACGCTGCCCGCACTGGTGGTGAGCCTGCTCGGAAGGGCGCCAGCTAAACAAAGATGCTGGTGATGGCGTGACCATCATTATCATCATCACTCAGCACCAGCCTGAGCATCAGCATCAGCATCAACATCGCCAGCATCATTATCATCATCATCATCATCATCATCATCATCATCATCATCATCATCATCATCATCATCATCATCATCATCATCATCATCAGCAGCATCATCATCAGCGTCATCCTACCATCATCAACTGCATCGGTATAACCATCGTGTGCATCATCGGTCATCATCACCGTAAGAATCGTCATTATAATCATAATCAGCATCATCATCAGCATCATCATCATGTTCGTCGCCAGCATCATCATCCTCATCCTTATCCTCAGCATCAGCATCATAATCATCATCATAACCAAAATCAGCATCGTCACAATCGCAATCACCATCACCATCATCACTACCATCGCCATCATCACCAACATCATCATCATCATCATCATCATCATCATCAGCAGCATTACCAACATCGCAAGCACCAGCATCATCATCGCCATCGTAATCGCCATCATCGCCATCGAAAGCACTATCATCAGCAACATCATCATCATCATCATCATCACCGTCGTCCCAATCGCAACCACCAGCACCATTGCCATCACCATCGCCATCACCATCACCACCGCCACGATCATCATCATCATCATCATCACCACCAGAATAAGCATCACATCATCATCAGCATCATCTTCATCATCCAAATCGCCACCACCAGCACCATTGCCATCGCCATCGCCATCACCATTACCATCAACATCACCACAACCACCACAATCATCGCAATCATCATCACCATCAACATCACCATCCTCATCCTCATCTTCATCATCAGCAGCAACATCATAATCATGCCACTCGCCACCACCTGCACAATTGCCATCTCCAACGCCATCGCCATCGCCATCAACACCATTACAATCATCATCCGTATCAGCAGCAGCATCAGCATCAGCATCATCATCAGATCATCAGCATCACCATCATCATCATCATCATCATCATCATCATCATCATCATCATCACTATCACCATCATTATCAACATCAGTATCGACAGCATCATCATCACCATCGTCTAAATCAACATCGGCACAACCATCATCACCAACATCACTGGGGGGCCACATGTGAACCCTACCCCTACCCCCCACGATTTCCGAGGGGGAGGGTGGGGTTCACTGCGCTCGGGAGCTCCCGAGCGAAGTGAACCCCACCCTCCCCTCAGAAATCGTTGGGGGGTAGGGGTAGGGTTCGCATGTGGCCCCCTAATCACCATCACCATCACCATCCCACCATCACCATCGCCATCATCAGCATCAGCCTCACCGTCATCACACTCATCATCACCATCACCACCATGACCATCACCATTACCGTCTCCATCACCATCACCATCACCACCACAATCATCATCACCGTTTCCATCACCATCACCATACCATCATCCTAATCATCGCCAGCATAATCATCACCATCACCATCATCATGACCAGCCTCAGCCTCAGCATCACCATACCATCATCATCATCACCATCATCATAATCATCATTACCATCATCATCATCACCATCACCATCACAGGCCTCAGCCTCAGCCTCAGCCTCAGCATCACCATCATCAACATCAACTTGTTCATCATCATAATCATACTCATCATAATCAGCATCAGCATCAGCATCAACATCAACACCATCATCAGCATCATCATCATCAGCATCATCATCATCGCCCCTGGCCGGGCCCATGCTTGGCTGTGGGGATCGGCGCAGGAGGGCGCAAGCACCGGCTTTGGGCCCCTTACTGGGCGCGGCTCTCGGGGAACTGCTGGAAGCTCACGCTGTGGCCGAACTGGAGAGCCAGATCGGGAGGGCGCCAGCCCCAGAAATCATGGAGATATGGCCGAATGCCTGTCCATGGGGAAGCAGTCGGGCCAGGATTCTCCATATCTTGTCGCATACATTCTGGAGTGTTGTCTGCCCCCACTCTCCATGTTTTCCAACTTTTTCCTGGGGATCGACGATTACTTGTTCCTGTCCGTGTGAATGTTCACCTCCTGAGGGCGAGTAGGTCGGAAACGCCGAGAGCTGGCGGGCGCGTCGGGCGCGCCGCGCCCTCCTGGTGCCCAAGATGTGATCCGAGCAGAGTGGTGTCGAAGGATCGCGCCGCATCGCCCGTGCGGCGGCGACGTACGGGCGGCGCCAGAACGGAGAGGGGGGGAAGTGAGAAGGAGAGGGCCTACTCAGGAGGCGGCGGAACTTCTCAGGAGCCCTCCGGCCTTCTGAGAATTTGCCTCACTTCGGGGGAGGCTTAGGAAACTTCTCAGAAGGCCGGGGGACTCCCGAGCCCTCTGAGAAGGCCCGCCCCTTCTCACTTCCCCCCTGTGCACGCCGCCGAAGCTGACCCCGAAAGAGCCCCAAAAGGCCCCCAACGGGCCCCCAGAGGCCCCCGAGAACGACCCGGCGGAGATCCGTGTGAGCACGGTTGTAGTTCTAGCTCTCCTAAAAATGGAGGCGCGGCACCAAGACGCTTCTACGGCCACGACCCCCGAAGAGAGGCACCCAGAGCTCCCAAGGGATCGGGGTGTGCGGCGCAAGCGAATAAATAACCAGCGCCAAGCCCATCCCAATGCCTAAGATTGACATGCAAAGACGATGACAATCTTCAAGATGTGCCCTCAGTGAGCGAACCCTTGAGATCAGGACCGAAATGATGTGAGGCCAACAACAGGTAGGTATAGGGATGTGCTTCAGGTTCGCATTTGAAGACCGAGCCGACATGAGCGTCGACTGTTCCTTGAGGCGAACAAGGTGTCTGCACTGGGTGGGCCCCGAGAAAATCAGCCAATAGGCGGGCTGAGGCCAAATCCCATCAAAATCGGCCCCTGGACGCCTCCCAAAGTCGAAACTGATAAGTTCTCCAAGACGCGCCTAGCCGTCGCGACAAGGGAGCCCCTTCCTCCCCTCCTCCTGCTGGTTGGGACCTGGTGCTGGACCACGTCAGCCCCCCAATCGGCCCCAACATGATCATCACCTTCTGGAGGTCCGCGCGATTCTCTGACCCGGGTCAATTCAGACCCGGGTCAGCAGGAAACCACAAAACTGCAGTGCAGGAAAAAAAACTGCAACGCAGGTCTTCGTAAACCCGGGTCAGCCAATATGCGCGGCCGCCTCGCGGCCACGAGCGGCTCGCTCACCCGGGTCAGCCGGAAGGGGTCTTCGCAAGATCCTGCAGGATCCGGTGCCGTGGCTGACCCCCGTTTGCATTGACCCCCGTCTCTCGAGCCCCGAGGTCCGCGCGATTTTCTTGGGCCGGCGCCGAAAGCCCCCCTCCCCTGGCAGGGGAGGCGTCGGAGGCTCCCGCCGCCGACCCAAGGAGGCTCCCGTCGGACCTCGGAGAGCTTCTGCGCTGGACCGCCTGTGTTTCTTTGAGTGGAAGGGTGCCCAGGGACACACAAATGACTGGACACAAATCCCAGGAGCCCCCGTATTTCCCCGCGTGTTCCGAAAGCTCGTCTTCCCCTCCACTTCCCGTATGTTCCTGGGAATCGACGCTGATGTGTGTGCGTGTGTGTGTGTGTGTGTGTGTGTGTGTGTGCGTGTGCGTGTGCGTGTGCGTGTGCGTGTGCGTGTGCGTGTGCGTGTGCGTGTGCGTGTGTGTGTGTGTGTGCTCCTTCCCTCCTGACTTTGTTTCTTTGAGGGCCTGCAGGGGGTGAGGAACGCGTTCAGCACGCGAGGGTCGTGGTTCCCGCGTACCCCGGGCGCGCCGAAGAGCGGGGCCGGGAAGAGGGCGTCAGCGCATCATGGCCCAGGGCGTGTGCCCAGGCGAGGCAGGGGCCAGGCGAGGGGACCACACGACATCTGAGCGACGATCAAAAACGGGCCTTACGCGAGATGACGTAGCTAGTTTACGCGGCGGTTTACGCGGAGCGCCAGGGCGGCACGCCACACGTGAGGCGAGGGCGCTTACGCGCGACCTTACGCGGGAAGCTGACGCGCGAATGTCGGCGCAATCGAACCCGTTATTTTGCGTCGATCGTCTGGGAGATGCCATGGGCCCTGGCCATGATATCCACACACCCCTTGGTCCTCGCCCCCTCGTCAACGCTCCCGAATACCACCAGGGCCCCGTAAACGGGGAGTGTGAGAATTACCCGTCGGTCAGAAGAAGTGGGTAGAAACATGAAGTGGGACGGCGTTGAAAGCAGATTAGGCTTCCGCCCGCCCCCTGAAGAGGAGGGAAGAGGGAACACCACTCGACTCCTGAAGTAGGAAGGCGCCTCTAAAGTAGACTGGGACTTGGGCATCCGAAAACACTCACTCTCAACGACCGACGCATCAACCAGGGCTCTGGCGAGCCTGCGAAAAATCCTGCAGCAAACCTTTCTCGTTCCTCCTCAGGCCGAAGCCTGCAACACCTCCCGGTCCGCAACACATCTGGCCTCTCGGCTCGAGGACACTCAAGCCGCAAGCCTCGGTTTGGGGGGACTCGGGACGGCCTGACGGGGCCGTGTGAGCGTTTTCTTATTCGGCGTTTCGGCATTGGGCGGAAGGAGGGGAGGGGGAGGGGGGGGGTCTGGCTCCGGACCTCTGCTTAGGGCGACTGTTTGCGGCAGTGCGTCCCACGGGGGAGGGACTCCACGTGCTCGAGACAGGCGCCACAAACAGCCAAGATCCACTCTATGGGGGGGGGGGGAGGAGGGGGTGCGAGGGCCCGCGCCCATCGGCGAAAGAATGAATAACAAAAACGATCACCATCATGAAAATGACGCGACCCCGTCTAAACCTTGACGCGAGCTCCCGCTGCAGACGTCCCACAACACTGGACCATCAAAATCCAGGACGCGCTGGTCAAAAAGCGTCGGCAAACCTGAGTTCTGGCGCACTCGAGTCTTACGCTTCCCCGATCGGTGAGCTGATCAATGGCACGCCGCCGTAGGGAGCCAGCCCACCAGCGCGCTACTACCAAAGAGACACCTCATGACCTCGGACGGGAGCGACGGCGCAACACGCCGACGGGCTCCCAACGGCGTCGTGTCACTCATGCTCTGTTGCCCCCGAGTTCCCGGACATCCGCCGATCTGTGTTTTTCAATGTGCGGCCCCAGAGGCGCGGGGAGCCTTGCGTCCTGGATGCGGTTCTCGACGGTCCGGGGACCCAAAGAGCGCTCCCGAGGGCCGCAGTCGGGGAAAAATGCGCCCATTGAGAAATCGTATCCTCGAGACGTCTGGGAATGCGACAGATACCGGTACCAGTGCTCCCCTGACGTCTCCCTGGGTGCGTTCTGACCATGATTTCGAAGCGAATCCAGCTGTGGCGACAAGGGTCTGCCAGGAGGTCCAACAATTGGGAAACTAGGGGTCTGAGATCCGATGTTGCGAAAAATGAAACGCCGCCAGAAACATCAACCCGAGCCCTGGACCACATCTTTCTGCCGTGCATTTCGAGCCGAATCGATCTGTGAGGGTCGGCAAGCAAACCGCCCGTTGCGAAGATTATGCGACGCCAAGATCCCTGGGGAAGGGTATCGGTTGAATGCGGCCAGGGGGTCTGAGGTGGAGAAGGGATGCAAGCACATCCTCTTGATATTTAGCATTGCCGGCACCTTCTCGCGGAAGAGGGCCACTTGAACAAAAACCGCGGCTCCCTCCCGCCCGGCCAAAATCCTCCCCAAACCCGTCCCTGGACCCCTTCTTTACCAGCCTGGAACATATCCCCATCCCTATGCTGGGCATCTCCTCATCATGACGCCAATCTCAGGGAGTTCTCTTATTTTTGAGGGCGAATCCCTAAGATTGTCATCGCCTTTTGGCGTGTCAATTTTAGGGATAGGGATAAGCTCGAGGCTGGCAACTTCTGGCGTCCATCCCGACTGGTCGTGCGAGGCGCCTGCGGCCGTGTGACGACGAGACGCCTCCGGGGGGCCCCACGCCTGCGGAAAACACGCCCGGGAGGGCCGCCGTCCTCCCGACCGGCCCTCCTCCGATGTCCCTCCTTGACTACCTCCCAGACCACCCCAACCCAACCCGAAGATCCGAATTTGACCCGAATTTCGGGTGGGGGGGGGTACGGGTTCCATGTGTTTTTTCAACGTTCCCCGACCCCCCCCCCACTGGAAATGGAGGGCAAATTGAGGCCTTCGGGTTGGGTTGGGGTGGTCTGGTAGGTGGTGACTCCTCCCGTTACTGCGGCCCTGGCATCACCAGCGGCCGTCGGCCGCGGAATCGCGCCAAGGACACGGCGCGGAGCCAGGAGTCGAAGCGCCGCAGGTGGCGCTCGCGCTTGCCGCGCGGGCAGTCCGGCGAGAAGTCCCCGCAGTGCACCAGGAGGTCGCCCTTCGGCACCTCCTCCCAGAGTCCCGAGGCGGCGGGGTAAGCCCTGAAATCCTGTTCTGGGTCCCCGAGCCCTCACGGACCAATCCAGCCGGAAAAATGGTGCAGATGGGGTCAGGGGCTCTGGTCCAATGTGTTTTTGCAATGTTGCATTTTCGCTCGTGACGTCAGATTTCAGGGTCGGAGGCAACTCCTGTGAGGTCTTCGTAAGAACTCCTGGGAGGTCTTCGGAAAACCAGGTTATGGCGCCATTGAACCAAACTGCCCCGAATTAGGCCAAGCATGGACAGGGAATAAGCCAGATTAAGCAGGATTAGGCCAGAGTGTGCTGAAATCAGCCGATCTGGCGTGTGAGTTTCTGCGAGCGTAGGCTTGAGCTAGCTCGAGCTTCGCTCTGGCGAGGGGGGGGGGGCTGACGCGCTCGGGGGGGGGGGGTGCTCGGGGGAAGGGGGGAGGGTCGCTCTGGCGAGGAGGGGGGAGCGCGCTCTGGGGAGGGAGGGGGGCTGACGTGGGCTGACGTGGGCTGACGCGTTTCGGTGCTCGGGGGGTGGGGGTGCTCGGGGCAAGGGGGAGGACCCCCCACAGCAGCGGAATCGCCCCGGATCGGCGGCACTGGCTGGAGGCCACTACAGTATACCAGAGTCCGCCTGTTCTCGACAGCGGGTATACCAACGTCGATGCTGAATCTAACACCCCAGGAGTTGCATCCTAGGTTGGGGTCCCGATCGGTGCGGTCCCAGACCCCATCGAGTCTTGAACAAAAAATGTCACGGGATGATTTTGCAGAGTGTGTTCTTACCAGAATATATAGGATATTTGTATCGTGATCACGAGAACTCTCCAGAACGAGCAGCGGTACCAAAAGCACTTTCCCGTCGGCGCGCGAATGGGTTGGCGCGAGGGGGACAATTGCCAAGAAGGCGTGGGGCATTCTTAAAAGTTCTCCTCTATACTTTTGAAACCCACGCCTTCTTATGAGGCCTAACCCCTCCCGCCACCCCCCTTCTGCGCGCCGCCGCCACTTGACCTGATCTTTCTGCTGCAAATTTAGAACAGAATTGGTCTGTGAGGGCCACGAGGCCCAACACGAGGCAACATCGCCGCTTGGAGAAACATGCGACGTCAAGATCTCAGGGTCTTCCTACGCTGATCACTCAATATATTGCTTTCGGGTCAGAGCCCGGCTCTCCGGCAGCCGTTGCCGACGATCGGGGCACGCCCAGAACGCTACAGGCGAAGCCCAGCCACTGGAACGCATCCCGAGGCTGCAAGACTTCTGAAGATCGATGGAAACGCCCAAAACCTCGAACCTCAAACCCGAAAACCTCGCCGCGTCCTCTGGCCGCAGGGAACCCTCGAAGCCGTGAGTGTCGCTGAGCGCCACGACGCGCAGGGGCAACGGTAGGGGGTATAGACTCAGGTGGAGAAGCGTCAGCCTGGAATCGGAGCCTACTGTGAGATCTGCAGTACTGAAAAAAACAGAACCAAGATGGTTCGCAATGCTCGGTCGGGGATCTTCTGACCCGGGTCAATCCAGACCCGGGTCAGCAGGAACCCAAAAACTGCAATGCAGGGAGAAAACAACTGCAGCGCAGGTCTTCGCAAACCCAGGTCAGCCAATATGCGCGGCCGCCTCGCGGCTCGCTAACCTGGGTCAGCCAGAGGGGGTCTTCGCAAGATCCTGCAGGATCCGGTGCCGTGGCTGACCCCCGTTTGCACTGACCCCCGTCTCTTGAGCCCCGAGGTCCGCGCGATCTTCTTGGGCCGGCGCCGAAAGCCCCCCACCCCTGGCAGGGGAGGCGTCGGAGGCTCCCGCCGCCGACCCCCCGTCGGGCCTGGGGGAGCCAGAGGGGGTCTTCGCAGGATCTTGCAGGATCTGGCGCTCTGGCTGACCCCCGTTTGCACTGACCCCCGTCTCGAGGCTCCCGATTCGGAGGCCCTCGTCCGGCCCCGGGGCCCACAAAAAAGCCTGGGATGCAGAGTCGCATTCGTTTTGGAACGCAAAACCAGCATCGGATCTCTGAGTATCGGCGATGAAAGGGAGATAAGGGGGTTCATGTGTTCCCACCCCTGAGCCGAATCTCAGTGTCTCAAAGATGAAGTCCTGAGAGATAGGGTCCTGAAAACGAGTTGCCTCAATCGATGTAAGTTCAACCTTGGATCCCTTCCTTGGGGAAACTCAGGAAGGTACCGATACCGCTACTCCCTGGACCTCTCTCAAGGGGTGCGTTCTGACCAGAATTTCAAGGCGAATCCAATGGTGGCGACGAGAGCCTCCCAGGAGGCCCTAAAAGGGGAACAGAAGGGAAGGGTAGCGGTACGGGTAACTGTTCCGCTCCTGATTCTCATCCTTAGGACCTCAGCACTTCGGACCCCATCGTTGAACCGCCGATGCATCCCCCCATGGCGTGGCCGTAGGCGACCCGAGGAGGAGGAGGAGGAGGAGGAGGAGGAGGAGGAGGAGGAGGAGGAGGAGGAGGAGGAGGTGGGGAAGGGGTGGAAATGAGGGGAGGGAGATGAGGAATGGAGGAGGAGGAGGAGAGAAAAGAGAAGAGGAGGAGGAGGAGGAGGAGGACGGGTCGCCCAAGCCCTTAGGAGGAACCCTCCCCCCATTGCGTCGCCCCTGAGATGCGCAGCGCCCGCGGCGCCGCCGCGCCTGCGGCGCGGGCCGCCACGCCGGGTACTGGCGCGCCTGCTGGCTGACCGCCGCGTGGTGACGA